GTAAGTGTATAACTTGTAGAATAGAGTGATAGAAGTAACATTGAGTAGTGTAGTGCTTGTGTCAAATTAGTAAGATGCCCATTCTAGCAGCTAGCTAGCATGGAGAAAATGAGAGGTGAAGGCATACGGATGCCAGAGCTGAACTATTCTTACAGAAGACCACAAGTTTTAAAGGATAACTCCTGGAAACTTGCAGTCAAAAACGGGGGTTTTTTAGTTGGTAGAAATCCAACACTACCTGGTGTCACGGGACACTGGGTGTCTTCGAGAAGATTTTTTATCCTCCAGCCGCCGCCGGGCAAACAAAAAAAAAACAAAAAAAAAAAGTCCGAGGAGTTGGCCAAACTCAGAAAATCAGAAGCACTCCCACCAAGGCTATAGGGACTGCCCAAGATCCATAAATCGGATGTACCAACGAGACCCATTGTGAGCGCTATTGGAAGTCCGACCTATGATATTGCAAAATATCTAACAAGAATTTTACATCCCAAAATAGGAAAAACTGACAGTTTTATAAAGGACTCACCCCATTTTGTTCAGAGGTTGGTACCAATTCAGGAGGCAATGGAACTTGTTGAGAGATAATTTCCACCAGACATCGCCAAACTGTTCGAACACTGCTTAACCACACCTTACTTTCAGTGGAAAAACGAATTCTATGAACATACGGATGGAGTAGCAATGGGCAGCCCCTTAGTCCGGTGATAGCTAACTACTTTGTGGAGAAATTTGAGAAGAACGCTCTGGACACAGCCGCGTAGAAACCTAAGTGTTGGTTTCGATATGTTGATGACACTTTCGTTGTTTGGCGCCATGTTTTAGTTGAGCTTAAAGACTTCCTGAGGTACCTCAACTCAATAAACCCAAAAATACAGTTCACTATGGATGTGGGGAAGGATGGGCGACAGCCATTTTTTGATGTATTAGTAACCAGAAAACCCAACGGAAAGCCATACCGGCCGGTACCTGCACAGTGGATCGAGGATTTGAGATCGGCCAAGGACAAACGATATCTTTTATCAGCAGCAGGAGTCGACAGAGTATATGGGCACCATAAAACGTAGTGTGAACACTAGGATCACTGAGCATAAAAGAAGTTGCAGATTAGGACAAACAGAAAAATCAGCAGTAGCGGAACACGCACTTCTAGACGGCCACCAAATACGTTTCGATGAAGTGGATATCTGCGGGGGGACAATCTCAACGGTAGTATCCGCGATTACCCTGAGAGGTTATTGAGATCTTTAAACATGACAACAATTTTAATCGGAAAGAAGAGGTAGCCGTCCTTAATCCAGATTGGAAACGCGTTTTGCGGCAAACGTTGTGCTCCAAAACAATTGAAGCCCCGCCCACTCCTCACGCATGAACTCACACGGCCAGGCCGCATAAGTACGACAGGGGATTCAATAGTTGAACCAGACTTCGACTAGTCAACATCGTGCTAAGCATCGCGCTCTGCAAAAGTTTCAGTGTTGGTGAAATCAAAGTGAAAGCTGTTACTTGGGTTTTCCCACTTGGGTTTTTCCTAAGTTCTTGTGTCGCTAAGCTGAGAATAGTGTGCTTTTTAGCGCGCTTTACAGCAGTTGCACTAATTACAAGTGTGTGTTTTTGTTCCAGGCTTGGAGGAAGCCATGGCCCTCACAACAGAGAGCATTGTGAGGAGGTTTGAGGCGCTGGAGGCCAAACTGGAAGCCACCTTACTGGAACTTAAGAGTTCCAATGAACAGGTGGCCTACTGGATGGACCGGGCTACAAGAGCGGAAACGTTCTTGGAGGCCAGCCGTTCTCAACCCGAGGAAAAAGAGGTCGTAGGGGATTAGATGGAAGAGGATTCCCCTTCCTCCTCTAGTGAGAGTGAGGCGGCAGCACCTTCAGCAGCCTCCAAGGGGGGCAAGGGCCCGGCAACGGACTCTTCCAACGGCGAGGGCTTTACAAGCCCAAATCGCCGGCGTAAGAGGAAGAGAACCAGGCCCACGACCTCCAGTGAAGATGACGACTCTAATCGGAGAAATTTGTCCACAGGCACAAAGAGAGACCCACGGAAAGCCGCCGTGCCGAGGGAGCCAGCAGTCCAGCCCAGCAGAGAGTGGAGAAAAAGCAGGCCACCCCTGCCGCCCAGCAGCTGGATGTCGAGGCGCAGAAAAAGCAGGCCACCGCTGCCGCCCAGCAGCAACCTGAGAAACGGAGGACAAAAATCCCACCGATTGTCCCACCGAAATAACGAAAATTCTGGCTGACAAAAGGATAAATTACGGCTGTGGCGTGACAACCAAGGAGGGTGTCAGAACGCACCCTCCCACAGTTGAAGACTTCCGTGCCATGATCCGGGTACTGGACCAACGCAAGTTCCAGTACCACACGTACCAACTGGAAGATGAGAAACAACTCCGAGTCGTCATCAGAGGAGTTGTGGAATCATGGCCGGAAGGAAAAATCAGAGAGGAACTCTGCCAACAAGGCTTCCACCCAACCACGATCGTCAGGTGGCGATAGAATGGCCAACCAATCGCAGTAGTGCTGGTGCTACTGCCTAAAACTGAAAAGGCTATCTTCGAGGTCAGAAGCCTTGGGAATCTGCGAGTCCGCGTGGAGTCCCAACACGCCAAAAGCCAGACGACGCAGTGCTTCAGATGCCAGCTATTTGGACACGACCAGTCCAAATGCACTGCTGCAGCCAAGTGCGTCAAGTGTGCAGGAGCACACGAAACTAGGGAATGTCAAATCCCTAGGGAAAAGGCTCCGAAATGCGCCAATTGTGGAGGTGCCCATCTAGCCTCCTACTCAGGATGTCCTGCAAAGCCTGCGCAAAAGAAGCCAGCAGCAACCACAGCTTGCAGGACAATTCCAGCGCCAATTGTCACGCCACAAGGCCCAAGCAAAAAGCCGCAAGCCGTCAGCTACAGCGCAGCAGCAAAAAGGAACCTGCCGCCCCAGCAAGCC